TTATTTTAGCAAAAATTTACATTTATTTTAAATTTAAATTTTTCAAAGTTTAAATTTAAAATAAATTAACAGGAAAATGCCACCCTTATACAAAGGACTATGTGGTAGCTATAGCTACCATCGTAAAAATAACTGTGTGGATAATAGAAAAAAAAAGGGAACGGAGCACCTACGCATAAGGACGAAAATTAAGGTGAATTAATTTTATAAATGAATCGTTCTTATATATCAAGTACATAATTCACGTTTACATATACAATAGTTTGCAAAAAAACTTGGAACAAATTTTTAGTCTATATTGACGCCTATTTCAACTACTTTCAAAAAAAATATTTCTTTATTTAATACATAGTAATATACAGTTTTACAATATGCAGCTCAATAGTTAACTCGTCTTCCCTTTTACTCAGTAACTAAGGAACATCTATTTTTCATGCTGTCAATCAAATTGATTATAACAGTTTTTTCAATTTTTTTTCCATTCTTCATCGATAAAAATTTTCACCTCATTAACATTTGTTGCTTTTCTTTTTTCAATCCGATGTTTCATAATGGTCCGCATATTTTCAAGCGAATTGAGATTCGGACTATTCAATAGCCAGTCTATAATAAGTGGAACATTAGCAACCAACCATCTTTTAGTTGTTGAAGATCGATGCTTGCGGTCGTTATCTTGTTGAACTCGACATTTATTATTAAATTGTCGTCTAGCATTGGAAATCAAGTTGTTTCCTTATATTTTGATGTAATAATCACTGCTCTAATATTTTGAAATGAATGAAAACCAACTGTTCCATGATAACTGGTAGAATCTCAAACATGAAATTTTTGTCGATTTTCAACCATTTGCTTGCTCGATGTTGTAGAGAATCTTGAGTTCGGAGCTTTTTCAACTGATAACTAATTGTAGACAATGGTATCTTCGTATCTCAGTGGATTTTTCTGACAGAACGAATTCCCATGTTCCAATAATATAATACAGAAATATAATGTGTTTTTAGTCTGTTTACCTTTACCATGTCAGGTTATAAATAAAGAGCGACAAAATAGAAATTAATCAAATATACAAATATTATTAGCAGATAGTCTAGTAAGTCTAAACCTACAATAACAGTAAAATAAATGCTCAAGGGAATCTAGAAAATATAAAATATTTATACTGTCAGTTTGTTCCAAGTTTTTTTGCAAACCATTGTAAATACAACTATATGCAGATCTCAATTTCGTCAGTTTAGAAGCCAGTCAATCGAATCTCGATGAACGTTACATAGAGATTCAATGTTTTCAATAATATCTGTCGATTATTGCTAAAGTTATATAAAGATGAATTTTAGGTTATGGAACATTATGTGAAACATTATTAATGCTACAAGCATTTATGGCTGATGTTATTTTTCCAAATAAACATGAAGATAAACAGTATAAATATACAGATGATAGTCATTTACTTATTTCGGAAACTTATATTGGTGTAAATGTTGAAGTATTTGAGTCAGATGTTTTTCATAGTGATATATCATGTCGATTTAAAATTGTTCCGTAAGTTTTTATTTATTTCTTGTTTTATTCTATATATCGAGAAAAAAAACGAATTTAGTGGAACAGTTGAATATTTAATTGATAATATTGATCGAACACTTCAACAATCAATTGAAATTGAAGAAAAATTATCAATAGATCTAATAGAAAATTTATCTGAAATTAAAGAAGATGTTCTTCAACGATTACAGCATTTAAAAAATTTTCGTAATCGTCTTGAAAATCCTAATATATATCATTTAGATGTTGGTGCTATGTATTCAAATATAATTATAACAAATCGTTTACGACCATCAGCTGTTGTTGATTCAACAATATGTGCTCAATGTAATTTAAATCGTCCAAATGCACATTGTCAACGTAAAATGGATTGGATATGGCGTGGTACATATGTTCCTGCTACACGTAATGAATTACAACGTATTCAATTACAACTTGAAAATGAACGATTTTCATTTAATGGTCAATCAATTGAAAAACAAAATCATCTATAGATGGATAAAAAAAAGGAACAAATGATACAGGTAGAAAATAAAACAAAACTTCTCCGTACTGAATAGAGTTCTTAGATGTATCGAATTTCATTTGTTCTGTATGTTTTTAATTCTTTCTTCAGTCAAAAAATGTGTACACATCTACATATAATGAGAAACAGCTGTTCAGGAATTGGCAAATAGACATGCTTAAATACTATTCTATAGGGCTTTCCTTAACTGAAACAATGAGATATTTCACAAAGCTGAACGATTGTCAGTTAAGAGTTTATCTATTTTACACTGTTTTTAAGATAATTGATATATATCTCGTTGCGTTCCTAAACTGTAGATAAGCTTATAAACAATACGTCGTCTGATAGAGTCCTATCGATCCCTGTACCGTATAGAAGGTTTTTCTCAACTTCTCCAGAGTTCAGTAGTTCCAACCCATATATACAACTCAGGTTACAAGATCTAAAAATGTAATTTTCACAAACCAATTAGATAGAATAAACAGACTATTTAATAATCCTCATATGTAAAAATTGTCTTTTCTTTTTAGCTAACAATAATCATAATAATAATATTCTATCATTTCATGAATTACCACAAGAAGCTCAATTATCAATTGAACGTAAACGTTTAGCTGATTATTGTCGTAAAGCATATAAAAAAAAATCATACACGAGGAGAAACACGAGAAACAACCGTATGTCAATGTGAAAATTCTTTTTATATTGATACAGTTCGTGCATTTCCTGATCGATGTTATGCATATAGATGTTTACATAAAAAATGGAAAAAAAATTTAGAAAATGAAACAAAAAAAATGATCTTAATGAAGTTAAGCGTTGTAATAATTTAATTGTTATTTATGTATAAGCTAAAATTTGATTATCTTTACTTTTGATCATGTATGTTTTTTTTTTCAATATTTAGGATGCATTACAATTTGCATATAAATGTATTCTTAATTTGTTTTATGGTTATGTTATGCGAAGAGGGTCGTTTAAAATGTTTGGACATGTTAAATAAATTATAATTTTTTTTTACAATTAATTTAGGTGCTCGTTGGCATCGAACGAAAATGGATGGTATTGTATGTACAATAAGTTCAATTATTATCAAACGTATTCGAGAACTTGTTGAACAAATTGGACGATCACTTGAACTTGATACAGTAAGATATCTAATTTTTCAAACATAAACTCACAATAATAGAAAGTGAAATTTTTCTATTCTTCCTATATATCGTGCCTGACATTGTCTCAAAAATAGTTTGGTAATTTACTAAAATAGAAATTGTTTAGCATGTACTTGTATCTGAGCATTTCTGCTGCTAGTCATGAACAACTGATTGTCTTGCACTACCCATCTAGTAGCACAGGATGACATGCATTGTTTCTTGTGGTTTGTCGCGGAACTGGTCAATAGAACATTAACAGTAAATTCTAAACATTATCAATCTGCAACTTTTATCTTATTTAATATTTTTGGGCTTTTTTGGCCAAAAAAGTTTTTTTGAAAATATTATGAATCGATAGATTTTTGGAAACAGTTTTCTAATTTTTCATACATTTACACTATTGATTAACAAGTCAGACAAATGACCAGTAAATCAATAGATTTCACATGAATTATTATTTTATTTAAGATGGCATATGATGTGTATTACCAGCAACATTTCCTGAAAATCATGAATTAATAACATGTGATCTATCACGTCCAAAAGTTATTATATCTTATCCGTGTAGTTTATTAAATTTAATCATTAAAGATCAATATACAAATGATCAATATCATGAATTAGTTAATTAAGATAAACACATTTATGAAATTCATTCTGAAAATTCAATTTTTTTTTTTTTGAAATTGATGATCCTTATTTAGCTATGATATTATCAGCATCAAAAGAAGAAGGAAAACGTATAAAGAAAAACGTTATTGTATATTTAATATGGATGGTACTATAGCTGAATTAAAAGGTTTTGAAGTAAAAACGTAATGATGAATTACAATTAATAAAAATATTTCAAGCAAGTGTTTTTGAAGCATTTCTTAAAGAAACAACACTTGAAGAATGTTATAATCATGCTGTAATTATTGCAGATTATTGACTTGATATATTATATTCACATGCAAAAGATATATCGGATAAAGAATTATTTGAATTAATATCAGAACGAAGAACTATGTCAAGAATGTTATCAGATTATGAAGAACAAAAATCAACATCAATTTCGACAGCTAAAAGGTAAAATTATTTAACGCATTGTTCAGATAATCTTAACGATGATCCTAATATCATCAAATCATCATTGGCTGCTACTTTTGAAGCATGTCCCGTCGGATTTGTCCAGAACCAATTCGACAGGCTCTAATTAAAAGAGCTAATACTTTTACATATGTTCATGAATGAATAAAAGAGCTTACTTAAAAAAAAAATTAGTGCTTTTAAAGAATCAAAGTCAAAAATAAGATGTTCATATCCCATTTTGACTAATTCTCACTCATGTCAGAGATGGGATCGATTCATGTTTTTTGAAGTTGAATAGATCTTATCTATGACCCATATATCAGATCATTGAATTAATCGCAAATAGATTAAATCTCGTGAAAAGTACTAACGAAGAGATGAAATCTTGTGGCCAACTTGGAGTTATGACTATTATACTGGATTTTCTATCATGGATACAGTATTCATAAAAAGCCAGACAAACGAATTTTGGTCTAAAACTTTGCTCATAGAAAAAAAGACTAGATTTTTCGTATTTTTGGTTGAATATCATTGTTTTTTGTGGATTTGATATCCCGAGAAGAGAGCACTATTTTTGGCTGAAATTTTTAGGAGATTCTAATGACTCCAACAGCTGTCTATAGGTAAAGTTTTAGGTCAAAATTTGTTTTTCAGGTTTTTTTTTAAATAAATACCGTTTCAAAGGTAAAAGTCCAGTGTAATGGCCATAACTTAAAAAGAGCAGCGCATGGAGAAGAATCCTTCTAGGCTTTTTCTAGTCTCACCAGACCCTATGCAATGACTGTGGTCTCATTGCAAACGCGAGCTATTACCTCGACTTGTTCCTCATAAATAAATCTTTACTAGATCAAATTGAATGTATATTATTAATTATATAAGTCTGAATAATTCATTGAAAATATTTTTTTGTTTTTTTTTCTTAGACTTGCTGAATTTCTTGGTGAAGATATTATTAAAGATAAAGGTTTTTATTGTCGTTTTGTTATAGCTAATGTATTACGTGATGCATCTGTTACTGAACGTGCTATTTCATTAGCTATATTTCAATGAGAACAATCTATACGTAATCATTATTTACGTAAATGGTTACGTCCGCCTGCCGGAGCTATTTCAAATAGCTACAGGGTCCTAATGCTCATGCTAGCAAAGGGAGGCGCCCCTGGGCTGCCGGTAGCCAACTTATCTTATTCCTAGGATAGCCCCCTATCTATAGGACACAAAACTTTTACGACTAACGAAAGAAGATCAAGAACAATATGTAAATACACGCAAATCAGTTCTTTTTGCTGGATGGAACGAAATGGTTACGGTTATCAACTGTTGATAATCTTGATATACGTGAAATTCTTGATTGGAATTATTATATTGATCATTTTAATAGTTGTATACAAAATAATAACTATTCCAGCTGTTTTACAAAATATTCGTAATCCAGCACCACGTGTTCCACATCCTGATTGGCTACATAAACGTTTAGTTGAAAAAAAAAACTTTATATAAACAAAAAACGTTTAACTGATGTATTTAATTCAATTAATAAACAAACTTATATAGATAATAATTAACAACAATTAATATTAACAAACAAATGATATTGAAGATATAGGTGAATAAACTGAATCATCAATAAAATTAATAAAAACAAAACAAAAACATTAAAATGTAAACGTGATGAATTAAATGATAAAACAATAATACATCAATGAAGAATTATTCTTGATCCACCACCATCATTTGGTCAAACAACAAATCAATATATTAAATTGTTTAATTATCAAAAACATAAATGGAATATACAACATGAACAATGACATCAATCATCAATTATGTCAGATAAAATTCAATTAACAACAAAACAAAAACCTTCGACTGATGGTAAAATTGATACATATATACGTCGTGCAGCTGAACATTTACATATACGTCCATGGCAAATAATATCATATGAATTAACTGATCAAATAGGTATATTTAAAGCTTGATGTTTAGTTGAAAATGAATTAATACAAATTAAAATAAAAGTTCCAAGAATATTTTATGTTAATTATCGTACATCAATTGAAAATAATAATATACAAACACAACATTCAATTGGTTATGAACGAACAATTAATAATTGTTCAAAACGTGTTAATGGTTTATTACCACGTTGTTCACAAATATATTATTTATATGAATATCGTTTAGATGAAAATCATTTTCATACTTATTATACAGATATAATGACTGATTTAAGTAATCCAAATATTGAAGGTGTTTATGAAATGAATGTACCATTAGATTTTCGTTTACTTATTACACTTGGCTCTATATGTTCATTAGGTAAAGAACAACAACGTACAAATATACTTTCAAATTTATATCAATTTGATGAATTAGAATTTTTATCATTATCAGAACAAACATATTTACAATCAGGTACATTACAATGTATTTATTTATATATACATCAAGATAATGGAAAGTTATTTATTGCTTTATTTATACCAAATAATTCTCGTGTATTCATTGGTATATTAGATAGTATTAGAGAAAATCATATACCTAATTTAAATAAATTATTAAAAAATGAATGTGAAAAACGATTACAAAAAGGTATTGATACAAATTTATTACCAATAAATGAACATCAATTTGAAGTTAAAGTTGATACCGATATACAAAATATTTGGAAAAGATTTAATAAAATTATTGCAAATCGTAAGTAAAATTTAAATGAATATGATTTTAAATCGGATTACAACAACAAAAAAAACATTTACGTTTTTCTTTTCTTCATTTCATTCAAGTCAATAGATAATAACTCGAATAGAGTTCTTTTTGTTTTTACTATAGATGAAAATACTAGGCAAGTCTCTAAATTAGGCCACTTTTCGATAGTTCGATCTGAACCATAAATTGCTTATATCCATCCTACTCGGACTCTAACACACTAATAATAAGTATGTTTTTCTCCTTGTGTGATTCAAATCGGACAAAAACCTGACCGTCAACCACTGATAGTTTGATAATTAAATGATCGTCTATCATTTGACGGACATTTTATTGTGATATACCGATAGATGTTTTCCGATCGATAACCTCCTGTCAACAACTTAGAGGTATTGCGGTAGTATGAACAAACTTGTCACATAAGTTCTTTTACGAAAAGTATTTTTCAAGGAAGGAAAAATCTCATTCGGATATTCTGAGCCATTGGAATGGCTCGAAATGACTACAAAGCAGATCAAAGAATAAGGATATCAAATTGATGTAATAATAATTTACCGAGATAGTGTTGGCATACTGGCACACGACCAACAAAATTTGATTGGCTGGAAGACCTATCTTGAAAAAAGCCTACAGATTTTTAAGTGGCAATCTTATAAGTTTATCTTTTTATTAATTCTACGGATATTTCAAAATGTTTTTTCGACGAAATTTCGTAGTCTTTAAAAAATTAGTATCTGTTTTGACGATACAATCAGTATTTTGCTTATGTTGAGATCTAGAAACATAGACTTTTTCTAAGAATAGAAATTTTTTTGTAAACAATGATTTTATACAAAATTCAATAATATTGAATTTTTCTCAATAACTAATTATTATAGTTCGTGAAAATGATATGGAAACTCGTACATTATCAATCTATTTGGCTATGCAATCAAATATTTCTATATGTGATCTTCAATCATCAATGTTATCATCATTAAATGATTATCCAAAAGTAACATTATCAATAAAAGATAAAACTAATTTATATAAAGGTCTTGATTGGCAACGAACAGCAGCTCGTCATGCATTACAACATTATGCAAATGCAAATATAATACTTGTTAATATGCTTGAACAATGTCGATATCTTCATATTCCATTAGGAAATTTTCCTGATGATCCATGTTTATTTGCATGTGATTTATTTTATGCTCGACATTTAATAAAACATAATCATTTATTATGGTGTTCATTAACAGATCAACCTGATTTAAGTGGAAAAGAACAAGATGATTATCGAATGTTATTAACAGCTGATATAAATGATCAAAATGGAAATAACCAACATATTAATTCAACTGATAATATATTTAAAAATGCAAATGATGAAATTCATTCGAATAAACAAAATCATCCATTTGAAATAAATCATTCAGGATTTTATCCAATATCATGTATTGAGTTTGAACTTGTTGATTTAGCTATATGTGCTGTATTAAATTTTCAAAAAATTCATAAAGCTGAAGGATCAAATTTTGATCTTGGTAAAAAAAAAACTAATTTTTCCAAAAATATTTTTTTTTATTTTCAAGATTTTGGTACAACTGTACAAAATCCATTAGGTGGTCCGGGTGTCGTTCCATCTATCAATAATACTTCAATGACAGCATATGATGAAACATCCCAATGTCTACCCGCATTACGTCTTCTTCGATAAATAGTTCAAATATGGTTACAAGATGTTCATTTCTATACGAATATTTTTGCAGATATGCAATTAAATCATTTTTATCGTTGGTTACAATCAAAAAAGTCTTCTCTATGAACCAGCACTTAAACGTACTATTCAAGTATTTATGAGAAAATTACTGTAAATAATTATTTCTGTTTTTTGTTTCGAATAATGAAGAGAATTTTTTCTTAGGATACAATTATCAATCCATATAAAGTTCATTTTGGTTTATACACTCTGATTTTATTCAGTAGTGCATATACCAATGTCCATTGGAGTGGATATTGGAGGGTAAAGGGTTAAAGAAGTTAGTCCATGTCAGTTTTTTCCTTTTGTGGCTATTCTCTACATATTATTCGAATTTTTTTCGTTTATTGTCTTTCTCTTTATCTCGTCCGTTCGTACATGAGCCTAGATATATATATAGAATAACACTACTGGTAGTTATCTATTCAAACGTAACAGAAACAAAAAGAAAATAATGGATGAATCAATGAAAACAATCATGATGAATGAATTTTTAGAAAAACTAAATGGGGCACAAAATAATGTAAGTTAAGAATTCTTACTTTTTAATTACTGTTTTCTCCACGTAGGAAATTTTATTGGATAAATTGGAACGTGAACAAAAAAACAAATTTTTAAATGCACAGGATAATTATCAAAAAGCTGTGAAAGATTCCAAACAATCAACAGCAACAAATGTTAATCTAGTTAATATAACAATTTTAGAAGATATTATGAAATTCCATGAAAAACTTACAATTATGGTCACAAGAGTTATTCAAGAATATGAAGATAATAAATATAAAACAGAAGAAAAAATTCAATCACATTTAAATTTTATTAATTATCCACGATCACAAAATCTCATGGAATTTGATCCATTGGTACTTGATTGTACATGTGAAGGTTAGTATTGATTTAAATTTCTTGATTATTTTGTTTTTCTCGTTGATTTAGGTCGTGATGATCATGATGATATTCAATTAATATGGTTTCAAAACAATAAACAAATTCATCAAAATGCAGATATTCGTCATGAACGTGAAGGAAATACATTCAAATTATTTGTTACTGCTGTGTAAATATTTGAAAAAATTTTTGAAAAATGATTTATTAAATTTAATTTATATAGATTTCCTGATGATTCAGGTGTATTTTCAGCTTTATTAAAAAGTAAATCAACAAATGATGAACAACTTTCTTCTTGTTCAATTATTATTCAACGTAAGAAAAAAATATGTTTAAAATATTTCATAAATGAAAATTCTTTTTTTATTCTTTTTTAGCTCGTAATAAAGAAGCACTCGATCCTGGATTTATTCAATTTCCACAAAGTATTCGTTCAATGAAAGATAGTAAAGCAATATTTAATTGTAAAACATCAGGATCAACACCAATCAGAGTTGGAACCGGTCCGGCAATCCGGCTCCGGTCCGGCCGGAC